TTAATTTTTAATATAACTCTGATTGGATTCATCTGAAAGAAGGAAGTCATATATGCCTAGGATGGCTTGAGGATGAGTAAATAATGGGCTAATTTTCATTTTTGGGTGAACTATCCCTTTAACTCACTTTTTATCCAACACAGATGTTCCTCAATTTATCAACAGTACTAATGAACAAATAAAACAGATAACTTATGTTTAGTTACTCCATGTAGATTTATTTATTTACATTACAGTCAACTAATGTAAGCAGTGTTGACAACAGTGAATTCTACTACATACTAGCGCACATACATCACTCCGATGTCTAGAATCATGTCTATTAGATGTGCCTATCTGTAATTCTTTTCGAACATTTTCCTGACACATATTAAATAGACATTTAGTAATTGTCTTTAAGATGTACAGTATATGGTTTATTTAAATTCACTTTGGAGACATAAGCTCCTGTGTTCACTATAACATAATAAAACGTGTTTTTACAGAAAAATCATAAATATACTATACTGTCTAGGATCTTACACCTTCAGCAATTCAACAGTTTACTCTACAGTAGTTCAACAAATGCGATTTTAACACAAGGAACCGTGTTTTGGCTTGTAATACTCACATTTGTAAACACCTTCGTCGCTGTTCTCCGCCCTGTTCGATGATGACGTATCCTCTCCCGTGGGCTTCTGGGATTGAAAAGTGTCCATCGATGAATACTTCAGAATCTGGGCTGAAGCAGTAGGACATCCGGGGATTTCTTGCCTACTATTTTATGAATACTGCGGTTTCGAACGTACTTCTTTCTTCACATACTCTTTTCTCCTACTATATAGTAGGTAAGTAGGCATATTCAAACGCAACTTAAGTATACGTACTCGTAATTCGCAAGAATTAGTGCACCAGCCAGGTAATTCTCGCCTACTTTTTTATGAATACTCAAGAGTTCAAACATACACTGAACAAAATTATAAACGCAACACTTTTGTTTTTGCCCCCATTTTTCCGCTCGCCTACTGCTTTTTGCCTACTATATAGTAGGGAAATATACTGTTTCTAACGCAGCGATAGAGTCAGAAACAGGGCATCAGTTTACTGTCTAAGACCCATTGCATTTTAGTTGCTTTTCCTGCTTGGTGGTTTTCCACATGGTGCACATTGTCAATGATGCCGCTTTAGAATTTTTAGTGGTTTCATGCCAACAACATGGTAAGAGTAGTGTTACACTGACATAAACATTTGACTTCAGCACAGAGCTGCAGGCCAAACATTTGTCTCTTGTCATTTGTCTCCCCAAAAACAATAGTAGTTACACAGAACACCTCAGCAACCTAGCAACAATCTAACAATACCCTAGCAGAACACCCTAGAAATGTCCTTGCAACCTTTTAGTAATGCCACAGCAACCACCCCAAACATACAGTAGTAGTAAATTACCCAGAACACCCTATAATCATGGTTTTGCATGATCAAGCACCACTCGTGTTTAGTACACAGATGATTATCAGTGATCGACAATGTATTTAGACTGGAAATACACAGGCTTACAAAGAGGAAGAGGGATTTTGGTGATCAGACAAGCCTGGACATCAACATGATAATTCAGTGAAATAGCAACAAGGCAGGAAACAAGACCATTAGCCCATGCAACAGCTGAGGTGTAAACAGGTAAGAGTGAGCATATCACTGTAAGCGAAAGGAAGACAAGCCTGTGCTGTTGGTTGCTAACAGACAGGTATACCTCAGGGACAGAGGCGTGTATACAAACAACATCAGAGATTCAAACACACAAACAGCTGGGACGTAACAAAAGCCCACTGAAAGATAGAAAAACACTCAAGACACAGGTGGCCACTCATAAAATTAGGCACTGATAAATGAGAGTACAGATGTGAACTGAGTTGCAATTACTTCGATGAACAGGTGTAAAAGAACAATGGAAAACAGTTTTGAGAAAAAGAGGGGTTTAGAGACCTAAACCCCTCTAAGGAAACATTCACAGAGAAAGTAAGATGCAGGGCAGTGGAATGAGAAAAAAAACCCCGCAAGGTTTTTAATACTGAAATACTTTAAACTTGAGTGTTGCGTTTTTAGAATGTAGTGCCAAGTTCGTGGCACTGCAGTGCGTAACTTTTTTGGTTAAAAATGATCCAAAATCCATTTTTGAGCAAGTACATAACCCAGCCAGTGTTCAAACCTATCGCCTTACTTTTACTCGATTCACAACAGTAAGCTTGTAATAAAGTTTTCTCATTTTAGTGGTACGGGTAGGTTTTCGCGTGAAATTTGAGCATGCGCTGCGTCATTACGGCACGTCTGTAAACATAAAGAAGTTGTCCCGGCTAGTTTGCTATATCGCACGAGGATGCTGCAGATGACGGATCGTTTATAGCCTTTTCTCACAGCAGCTGGAATAAATGGCGAATTGTAATCCAGAAAGGTCGAAACGACAGTCAAAACCAAAAGAATTCGTACTGAGATGTGGCTACAGAAAAAAAAGAGAATGCAACGGCCATTGCTAAAACAAAAATAAATATTGGCAGGGCTTTTGAAAGGTGGAGTGAACTCCGTGTTTTGAAGGGGTTTAAAATGGATGCAGAGACAGCTTTTTTCTGCTGGACAGGTAAGATATTTTAATGGTTCAATTAGGTAGGCTAACAGTAGCACACTTCTTCGCTTAATCAATAGAGTTATGGAGTTTCTTATGTTGTGCTTTTTTTCTCGTCTTGCTATGTTCATTATGATAAAATATTTATTTCAAAGAGAACGAGATGTAAGGAACTTTAATTGGCTTTTTGGGTTACAAGAACAATTTCTTTATATGAAATTCGAATGGTATGACAATTAGAGATTAGACTGTACAGAAATTTAAATCTACAAGTAACACTAATACACACTAAATACACACTCATGCAATGCTAATGTTATTAATGTCAACAATTTGAAAAAGTATAACAATAATAATAATTGGCACGGTTTGGTGTCATAGGAGCTAAACGATCGTTAGATTTAATCACCATTGATAGCGCAATTTATTGTAAAATAAATTTATATAATGCTGTTTTCCTCAGTTGATCAGAACAAAAGTGGCAGTTGTTACTTACTTATTCAGATTATATTCTCCAGTGAAAACTCTTATTTGGGTCATACTTTCAAGATGTAGAATCTGTGAATAAAAAGTGCAGTATACACACCAGTGCGGTGACTGACAGCCACACATTCGATTCATCCACGCTGGAGCCATGCCGGTGCACAAACCACGCAAGGAAGATCATTCCACAAATAGCTGCAATTGCAGGTTTTCAAACAGAGATGGCGACAAAAAGACAAAACTTACGGACTGCAGCTTTAACATACAAAAACAACTGAAAAGCAGCGCAATGAAATGAAAAACACTTTTTTCAGTGTAAACATATGAGATGAAGGGCAGTGGAATGAAAAAAAAATGCATAGTTTTAAAAACAGCAATGGAAAAACAGCACAGTCCCTATTAAAAAAAGTAATATATTTAAAATGCATTTATTTCATACTAAGTACAGTTTAAATCTATATTTACTGACATATCTCTCAAGACTTACTGATATAAAAAAAATTATGATTCAACTTTATTTGGAGTACTAGTTGTGTACAATGCATATTTCATATTATGTAAAATGTGTTTTAATGTTACTATTAACAAGGATTGTATTATCTGAATAATAAAGGTCTTTAAATGCAAGATATTAAAGTATACATAAAGTATACTTGCAATAGTTCCACTTTAGCACAATGAAATATACTTCAGTATATCTTTAATTGGACTTCAGCACTACTTCCGCACAATTAAAGTGCATTAAATACAAAATTAGTTGTTCAAATTTAGCAGACTTTAAGTATACCAGTTTAGTAAACCAAAAGTACAAATGCAGGGTATTTTTATTAAGTACATAAACATGTAAATGTATTTGTAGTATACTTAGCATGAAATAAATGTATTTCAAATACGTTTTAGTATATTTATTTTTCACTAGGGTGAAAAATTGAGACACAGGGCAGTGGAATAAAAAACAATGCAATTTCTAAATACGCATTTATAAAAAAATCTAATTTGACAGTGCATTTTTATAATGGCATGCTATGTGTTAGAAGCTGCAAAGGGTGCAAGGTGCAAGTTTCATGTCAGTCTAGTTCATGTGTACGCAGAAATCAATGGAAAAGCAGTGCGGTGGAATGCAAACACATGTTCATATTAGCATTTAGTGTTCTAAACACATTTTTAAAAGCTGAAATATTTAATTTGAGTGCCGCATTTTAGAATGCACGAGACACGAGCGTAACAGTCAAACATATCTGTCTAAGGCATACTTACATAGAAAAAACAATGGAAAAGCAGCATGGCGGAATGCAAAAATGCATTCTGGGTTATTCAAACAGAACCCTTTTTTTGTGTGTGTTCCACTGTGATGCTTTTCCATTTTTTTGTTTCTATGTAAACTTGCTCTAAATGGACGTGTTGTGTCTGACTGTTGTGCTCTCACGTCTTCTGCAGCATCTGACGCATGACACAGTGCTCTAAAAATGTGGTGCTCAAGTTAAAATAAGTTCAACTTTTAAAAAATAGGTCTCCAGACCATGCATTTTCCCCCCCATCCAATTTTTCGCGTAAAAACACGTCTATGTGAACCGGCCCACACTCTGCTTCACATCATGCCTAAGAACACTCCTTAATCCTGGTAATATCCCAGAAACACACAGCTTTAGTTGAAGCACAGCTTCTGCGTAACCGCTTTTGTTTGTTTTACCACTGCAAATGAAGACAGATAGAGAGGAAACAGGTTCGCAAACATTGAGTCATATCCTACAGGTCCTGACATGCCGACAGACTATTTAGAGGAGCAGGTGGGAAGGAGAGATGCAACAGAAAAAAGCTTTACAGCTGTAGTGGGCTGAATACACATGTATTTGTGTAAAGCAAGTAACACTATTAATTCTCTCCTGCTGTGTAGTGTGACTAGTGTGTTTGTCTAACAGACCTCTCCTGCAGTAAGGTGGATCGGGCTACTCTCAGGTCCTTCATCTCGCCCTTTGTCCATTCTAGTCTCCGGGTCACCTCCTCCTCTTTCTGTTGCCACGCCAACAGCTGCTCCTGCATGGACTCACATCGTTGTTGACATGACAACCGGTTCTCCTCCTTCTCCCTCAGGTCTCGGGATAGCCTTTAGGGGAAAGCGTGAACACACACTGACTCACGACAAATGCACCCATTTACACCCACATGAAAGCTAGATATCTGCACACATCTGTGCACAGTGCACACGCAAAATAAATAGCTCTGTTCCGAAACCAAAAGTGCTGCTTCAATGCATACTGCCTACATACACCCTACCCTGCTGCAAAGATCAGCATATGTTGTGTTTTGGATGATGACATGCTGGTTGTCTTAGCAGATTTCTTCTTTTCTTAACATTCACAGTTGATTCCAATAGAGTTGGCATTAGTACATGTTGCTATGCAAAAACAAAATATGAGTACAAACAAATATTGGGTTAACTGTTGTGGTGCTTTAAATTGTTGTGGAAACCAATACATGTTTTTCAGGATTCTTCAATGAATAGAAAGTTTAAACAGTATTTAATAATAATAATAATAATAATAATAATAATAATAATAATTACTAACTATTAATAAAGCAGCAAATTAGTAGTTTATTGAGGCAGAAATTGTAGTTACTGGTTTGTTAATAGTGAGAATTGGACCTTAAAATAAAGTGTTAGCTGAAGTTTATATACTCAGTATATTTCAATATACAATAAAATACACAATATACAATATTGCCAGTTACTCTCTCTTTGTATTCTCTGTCAAGGAAAATAGTTACAAAATACATAAAAGCTGAATCAACTGAAGCAGAATCAATCTCTGAGATTGAAATGAACGATTCAATGACTGGTTTATTACAGTAGTCACTTGTTTCACTTGTAAATTGAAATTCATTGTTCTGAATGAATTAGTTGAAATAAAAAGATTCAGTGAATTATTCATAAAGGCACTTATTGCCACCTACTAATGAAACAATTTAACCAGAATCAGAAGTCACTTAGTCGCTTATAAATGTTAGTGGGGAAAAAAAGGTCCATTGTCTATTGGCAGTAATGTATGAAGCACAGTTCACACATTAGACACTTTCAAACCCAGCAGGTTTGATAAACACAATGAACAACTTGAACCCAATGCAAAATATGCATGGAGAATGTTTTGCTCACACATAAATTCCATGCATGTATTCCTATTGAAACAGCTGGATTTTGTCTGCAAAAAAAACACTGAACAATGGCAAATATGACCGTACCTTTACTCTAACCTCTTAGCAACCAGGTTGAATTTCAAAAAGTAATTATTTGGGTGGAATACCAGCCAATTCAGACCAATTGACCAATTCAGTCATCCAATTTGGTAGGTGGCGCTGTCACGAAACAACTAGGGTCCTAGAAATGTTGTTCTAAGATTGCGGAACTGCAGGATTATACCATTGTCAGTAAGCACATGGACAATAAGACGAAGTTGAGGTTCAAAGTTCTTCTTCACACTTAACATAGACTGGGGGGAAAAAAAGACTTCCTGGAGAAACCATTCCATTACTATTTCTCTCCCTTTATCTCTGTCTGTCTATCTTTTCCCTGCAGGACAAAATTAGGAAATTCCCAAACACAGAAGATCTTATCCGTTAGCCTCCAGCCTCCTCTCCCCCAATTGAGGAAGACACTTTAGAAAAAGGTGTGATAATGGCACACTTATCATGAGGAACAGTTATCGCTTAAAGATCAGGCAGTTTCCTTCTTGAGACATAACAGCAGAAGATCTCTTTGGGCTCTTCTAAGAGGAACCAGGCAGAGAAAAACAAAAGAGGGTGGTATGGCCTTAGATCTGAGCTAATGTCCTTAAGTCTGACAAAGATAAGCACCATCCCACAGGCACGCTCACATCTGTGGATTTTTTGTATGCTTGAATGTTGTGGAGAAAACATTTTCCCAAAGTACACACTGGCTGCTTTGGAATGCCTAAACAATAAATGAAATGCTGAAACTTAACATATGTTGACTATAAAGTTAAATACAAAATCAAAGCAATGTGGGGAGCACATGGGCTTCTCTGTGGGCGTTGCAGAGTCGAGGAGTCACTCTTTCATACTGTATTTTTTAAGTATGGAAGAGTGAGAACCGTGGTTAAAGATGACAAGGGTCGGATTTAAAATAGATTCAGTCTGATATCTGTCATCAGAATAAATCATTAGCGCCTGTGACATATGAGTCTGCTTTGCAGATATCATGGCTCCTTTGGGATGGTGAAAATTAAAGGAGCTTTGAAAACCGATATGTGAAGTGTGTGCGTGTGTGTGTGTGTATGTGAGGTGCGGGAAGTTCTGAAACCCGAAGCCCCGTGAGTGGGAAGTGCTTCCATCTGCCATCACAGAGCTTCACACGTAGCTTAAGCCTGCTGACACATTACAGAATTTAATATCTATACAATATCACTCCGTCTGAAGCAGAGCTGTGATACATGGAGAGAGGGGGAGGGCGTAAGACCTCAGAGCTCAGAACATCACTCACATGCATGCTACTTTCTAAGCTCAAAGGCATCGGGTCCACTTTCAGCTTTCTCTCATCTCTGTCTTCTGTCCTTTACCCTCCTTTTGTAGCACTAGTCAATTTCCACATGCAAGGTACAAAGCAGAGCCTGAAACTGACTGCAAACTTCTAACTTTTATTTCCTGATCATTTTATTTTCAGGTTGCCATTTTTGCAGCCTTATTACAAAATGTACCTAATTATTTTGTTTTAAAAAAATATTTTTCTTTCTTTCTTCCTTTCTTTCTTATTTGTAAAGGCATGTATAATGTTACAAAATATTCCTATTTCAAGTGAATGCTGTTCTTTTGAACTTTCAATGAACTTTCTTTGTATTGTGTGTGTGTGTACCTACTTAACCATATTTTGGGGTCAAATTTGTACCCAAAAGTGAGCTAAACCTGACAAAATCTCCAAAAACCTCCCTTTGGGGATGTCCTCATTTGTAAAACTGGTATAAAAATAAAGTAAACAAAGTTTTTTAAAATTGTGAAAATGCAGAAAGTGTCCTGTAATGGGTAGGTTTAGGTGTAGGGCAATAGCACATACAGTTTGTACAGTATAAAAACCATTACGCCTATGGAATGTCCCCATTTAGATAGCTAAGTAAACGTGTGTGTGTGTGTGTCCACAAAAATGTGAAGCAGTATAAGTTTTCAGTATTTATAAGACATGTTTAATGTCTTAATAATAAGACATGTTTCTTGAGCACCACATTAGCATATTATAATGATTAGAATCTGCTGACAATTTTGATTTGCCATCATAAATTACATTTTAAAATAAATTAAAGCAGAAAATTATATTAAAAATGTTAAAAAGCTGTTTTAAATGTTTATTTATAAAAAAAAAAAAATGTGTTACTGTATTTTTGAGCAAATAAATGTAGTCTTGGATAATATAAGAGATGCTTTTAAAAACTTAACATCTTACCAACCAAACTTTTGAATAATAGTGTTTTTTTTTTTGTTTTTGTTTCAAAAATTGAATGAATGAATGAGGCATTTATATAGTGCTTTCATTGTGTATTGCTGTACACCCAAAGCTCTTTACAATCATATGGGTGGTCTCTCTTCAACCACCACCAAATAAATAACATTTATAAAACTGTAAGAGAAAAAAGGGAGAATCGGTAGGGGCTAGGTAGTTTGGGACAGAGTTTGTAGCTACTCATAAACTCATACTTTCAATATATGAAAAAGAAAAGGATTTGTAGGTTTGTTTTTTTTTTACCAAATGAGATTTAACTTCTTCTTAATGTCTTCTATCCATGCTGTAGAAACAGTCCTAATGATATTTTTAAAAACATGCTTAATCCCTGTAATGGGAAATGGTATTTGTGTTCGCCAGCGTCTCTTTATGTCTGAGGTCTCTTTGCCCTCTGTGAAAAGCTTTCTGGTCTTTTCAACCTTTCTTTATCAGCATGCCATCCTCTCTTCAGACTGGTGAGCAATTGTGATAAACAGCACACAGCACTCCAAACCACATCCAGGAATGTGCATCAATCCACTGAGACGCTTACAGATGACTGACAGACACTAACAAACTCTGTCTCCGCCACATATAAACACACTCACCACACTTATACACAGACAAACACATGAACACACCCTAGTCAAACAAATACACAATAGTTCATGGTTGTGCACAGTTTAGTGGATCATGACATCAATCAAAACACACAAAATGTGACCAAAGAAGCTCAACATGTCTCTATTTATAACTTCCTGGTCCATGTGAGTTCAGTATTTGTGTAAACCTGCGAAACTACTGTTTTTCTCCTCTCAGAGGAAAATTATATTTGCCATTGTTGCTTAGTCATTGTATCTTTATTTACTTCAACTTTGTCTCTGATGTTTCACATAAAAAAATGCTTAAAATTAGAATTAGAATTAGCTGCCAACATATAAAACTTGGAAAATGACTATTATAGCTAACATTACTTTTTTTTTTAATTAGTAATTCATTTATAAAAACACTTTTTAAATATTTATATTTCATAAATAATTTATTGTATTATTTAGGTTATAGTTCAGACCGAAATCTCTGCTTTTGATTGCAGACTTTAATATCTTGACTTATATGTATGATCAACTGTGTTGTGACATTGAGATATTTGTGATTTTTCTTTCTTATTGTTGTACCTCTCAATGGTGGCCGTCTGTTCACTCCACAACACTCGCAGATCCTCCTTCTCCACGGACTTTATTCTGCAAGACAACAAAGATGTGTTTTTATTTAAAGCAGCGACCGCTAACATCTGTTCCCTCTTTCCTCTATTGCCTGTGAGTGTGAGAGATACTGAAAAAATTCCCCTTCTCCAAAAAAGTCACCCAAGCATGTCCCTCTGGCATCCGCTTCCAACACCAGCAACTCAGCGCGAGCAGCTAAACAATGGCGTGTAAACGAGTGTAGCCCAGGGCACGTCCACGTGTGAAGCTAACAGGTACCATCGAGGGTATAATGGGTGTTGAAATCTCACTGAGTGAGAGGGAGAAGGTGAAAAAGAAAGAAAGCAGGTGGAAAAGAGATGGAAACACAATCTGACATACAGCTGTTAAGTGTTATGTTTTTTTGTAATATCCCTCTGTAGTTTGAGTAATAATGTGAAACTTGGTTAGCGAGCACAGAAGTGACAAGAGTGAATGTGGGAGTCTAATAAAACACAGAATTAAAGCTATAGTGGCGCCAAGTGATATTATGTTATTATGTTGAGCGCCGGTGAGGAAGAACTAATCTCTGGATTTGGCAGAGTTTGTGGCTTCAATTATTTGAATGGTATTCACACGTTTCTACTAATCCACAAGTATTTTATGCACTACCATTTACAGAGATGTTTTTCCATGTAATTCTATTATTGCTCAGATCCACTTATTTAGTTTTATTCAGATTTACCCGTACCTAAAGATGTCAGATAGACGGCCCCTTCATGTCATAACAGAATCATCTGCAAAGTGGACCAAACTTTGTTGCCGCAAGTCAAAAGTCTGGCTAAGCGAGACTATTAATATGCTAACAGGGGGCTTTTGTGTGCCTGTGTGTGTATGAGCGTGCTTTCGTTTAATGCATGCCAGCCAGTGTTTACATGTGTGTCTATCACTCTGTCAGTGCTTCAACTCATTAATTCACCATGACATTCTCAAATTCTGCATGCTGGTCTAGCAATTGTGTCCTGCAACATCCAAACATTTGCTGCACATGTACAGTACATGCCTGTTTTCCTTTCATGGTGGAGACTTACCATTGACTTTTATTATTTTATAAAATATTATTATATTATATTATATTAAACAATATAAAATAATATAATTTCTTTCATCTACCCCAAAACTAACCCTCTAAGAAAATGCTCTGCATTTTTCATTGTCATAAGATTATTTAGTACATTTATCAAGTTTTTCCTCGAATAACACTGTTAAATGTAATCTTTAGCAGACCTCAAAATGAATATCTAGTTTTCATAATGTGCATGAAAATATTTTGATGCCTAAATTCACTTGTAGCATTTAACGCCCTACAGGTGAATAGGGCTAGCTATCACCATACATTCCCCCGTTGAGTAATCATAGTACATTAAGACAATTGTTTTGTATTACAAGTTTAAACATGCAAATGAGACATTATCGAATTAAATATGCACTAATTTGCATACATTTCCAGAACAAAAATCTGAAAACTGGATAAAAGCCGGGATACCCTAGTAAAAAGTTATATATTTAAAATACATTTATTTCATACTAAGTATAATTCAAATCTATTAACATATTTACGGACATTTCACTCAAGACTTACTGATGTAAAAATTATAATTCAACTGTATTTGGAGTACTTACTTGTGCACAATGAACATTTCTTAATATTAAGCCTAAAATGAGTTTAATGTCACTATTGATGAGTATTGTGCAATCTTTGAATAATATCGGTCTTTAAATGCAAGATATTTAACGTATACTTAAAGATATTTAAAGATACTTAACGTATACTTGCAATAATTCCACTTTAGCAATGAAGTATACTTCAGTATATGTTTGGTTGGACTTCAGCACTACGTCCGCAAAATTAAAGTGCACATACAAAATTAGTTGTTTCAATTTAGCAGACTTTAGGTATACCAGTTTAGTATACTGAAAGTATAATTGCAGGATATTTTTTACTAAGTACATAAATATGTAAATGTATTGTTAGTATACTTAGCATGAAATGTATTTCAAATACATTTTAGTATATTTATTCTTCACTAGGGTAAAAACACTTTCACTTTGTTGGCATATTAAAGAGACATATTAGAGGAGAAAAAAAAAGTATTTTCCACCATGTTTTTAGGAACAATGTTATATAAATCAGGCAAATATGAACAACCCCCTCTGTTTTATTCTGTGATTCAACAAAGTTTTGTTGTTGTTGCTGTTTTTATTTATTTACTTATTTATTCTGTGAAGAAAACCGAAAATTTGGTATATATAAGTGCTACTGAAGTGGAGATTTTTGACTCAGAAAAAAAAAGTATTTTGAGAAAACGATTGCAATTGGAATCTACAGACTCAGTTGATAAAGTGTAATACAATGATCAATTAAATGTGTATTTTATATGTTTTCATTCAAATAGTCTGAAGGAAGACAAGTTCCAGGAGCAAAATAGGCCAAATCTCAACAAGTTTTGCCTAAACGGTCTTGCCTTAAAATGACAAATTTTAGCTTTAGACTGTTTATAAGCTTACTTAGACAAAATATTATAAATTGTATAGAACTCTGCCATTATCAGCCTTAACATTAAAATTATCATCAGTATTGGTGTGTGTTGGTGCATCCCTGTCCCTGCAGTGAAGGTAAAATCTGGCCCACTCACACCCACACACAAACACTCAACCCAGATAACTTCACACACAGGCTCAGACAAATTCTCCCTCTGGCTCTCAGACTGACCTTCCTGTCGATCAGGACATAAGCACAGACCTTGCATGTCTTAGCCTGGTTTCTAATAAATGGAAACTCTGCTCTCCTCTTTCTTATTTTCTTGCCCTCTGCAAAACATCTACACCAGTCGAGGCTCCTGGGGCCCAATGTTAAGCACAACATAGCAGAGAAATCCCTGCATTCCTAAGCTGAATAACAATCAGTCTCTCGCTCTCCGTCTCATTCCCTCGTTCTCTAGTTTCTCCAATTCTCTCTCAAGGTCAGCATTGTATAGATTCCCTGTGGGTGTCATCTGTCAACTGTTAAACCTTCTGTATCCCCCCATCAGCCCACCCCAACTCACAAATATGTTTCACCCTCTCACGCTAACGCTCCCCATCCTGCACCATCGGCTCTCTCAACGCCAGTCTGGAGAGAATCAGGGGAGTACGTGTCTCCCAGCTGAGCCGGTATCTGCCAGTGTTTAGAGGATCGACGAGTCTTATGGAGGTTTGGTGAAGACCTTTCTTCCTTTGTTTATTATGGTTGCCTGAAGGTTTCACTGAGCTCTGTGACACACTGCTATCAGACAGCGGGTTAAGATAACCTTTTATTTCCCCTGGATCTCTGTGACACTAGAGATAAGAGTGAGGGGGAGAGGAAAAGGGAATGAGAGAGAAAGAGAAAGCGATTATGGGATTAACATGTTAAAGATGGATGTCTCTGTTTGGATGAAAACATGACGGCTGTCAGGTCAAGTGGACCTGAAAACAAGAACGCAATCTGTAACTCTCACATGCTCACTAAACATCTGACTCTTACCAAAGAATGGATCAGAATTGAAGGAAATAAATGGGCTGAGTCACTTTTGCTCATACTTAGAGTAAGGGATTTGATCAAACCCCATTGAACTCTAGCATACACCATTTGTGAATGATATGAATGATCACACAAATCATGCAGCTTGTTGAGGAGAGATGTGCTATTAATGTATCTTTCGTGACTGGAAAAATGTAAAAAAAATAAATAAAAATAAAACAACAACATTACTGTGGCGAGGGGGGCGTGGGAAGACGAAAGGCTGCAGCGGGAGAAAGGGTTTGGAGACGAGCAGTGATAAGGAGGTCAAGTGAATAATGATTAACACCTGTTTGTAATTCCAGTGATTGGGGGAGAGACGAGACATAAGCGCCCGCAGACCTGGGAGAAGGGGTGATTGAGAGAGAGTTGGAGCAGTGTGCGTTGTGTGACCGTAGACAAGACTGTGGAGGCAGAGAGCCAAGCAGCACTTATTCTTTGTTTTATTTTTGTTGTGGGGACCAATAAAGAGGTTTACCCACCACCCCTGAGTTCCTCATCCTTCTTCCGAACTACAAACTGTATTACACTGGTGCCGAAACCTGGGACGAGGAAGCCGGCACGCCGCCATGCAGCCAGCTCAGCCAACGCCGCTTGCGGAGCTCGTGAAGTCGTTCGCCGGGCTTCACCAAACCCAACATCCGGCGCTGATGGACCTCAAATTGGAGCAGGAGGATCGGTTCCGCCTGTTGGTCCAGGCGCAGGATGAGGACCGGCGGGTCCTCCGGAGCTTGCTTGGCCGGGAGGTCGCCCCAGTAGCGGCCCCCTCCATCGCCCACGTCCCGCTGATGAAGATGGGTCCGCAGGATGACCCGGAGGCATTCGTGGACCTCTTCGAGAGAACAGCGGATGCGTGCGGCTTGACGCGCACCCAATGGCCGGTGCGCCTGATCCCGCTGCTGACTGGGGAAGCACAGGTGGCAGCCCAACAGCTGCCTGTCGCGATCCTCCTGACCTACGATGATCTTAAGCGGGCCATCCTTCAACGAGTCGGCCGTACCCCCGAACAACATCGGCAACGCTTCCGGTCAAGGGAGCTGGGGGACACATTCGTGATGGCCCAACAGCTCCGGGACGCGTGCCGCAAGTGGCTGCTGGCAGAGGAACGCGACGGGGGGAAAACGCATAGAATGAAGGTGGCGGTTAATTCCCACCTTAGGTATCCACTGATTTTGGGGACAGATTGGCCATCTTTTACGCAATTATTGGGGGTTTTGTGTGCGGATGCTTCTTGGGAGACAGGGCTGGGAAACGGAGAAGTGGTGGCGCAGACTGGAGATGCAGTTTCGGGACCTTCACAGACTGACTCAGAGGAAACGAGAGCGAGGGCGGAGCTTAAGTCCCCTGAGCTAGATGACTTTCCGCTGGAGCAGTCTCGTGATGAGACGCTTAAAAATGCGTATGACCGGGTCCGCACCATCGACGGACACGCAGGAGCCTCGCCGCCTTTCTCCTCTCT